TATATATATTTTATGAAAATATATTGGATTTATTTCTATCATATTAACCACAACCTTTCTGTTGATATTGCTTTTTAAATGTTCCTTTTTTCCTCATTCTGCCTTTTCAAAAATGTAATCAAACTGTTTTCTCAGGGCATCTGGGTGGCTCAGTTGGTTAAGTGTCCAACTCTTGATTTCGGCTCAGGTCATGATCTCAGGGTCATGAGATCAAGCCCCACATCAGGCTCCGTGCTGGGCATGGAGCCCACTTAAGATTCTCCCTCTCCTTCTCCCTCTGCCCCTCTCCCACATAAAAAACTTTAAAAAGTGTTTTATTTTTTTTTCTTTCCACTATTTCGGAAGTTATTGACTATTTCTGTTTTTTCAGTGGTTGCCCTAAATGATTAACATACATTTCATCTTGACAAAGCCTGAAATTGATCAATAGCTTTATTTTCCTCATAAACAGTATGAGGACCGTAAGGCACTTTGACTCCAAGTACTCATAATTTTAGTTCTATATTGATTTTACAACCTTAAAAAATAGAAAATACTACAGTTTTTAAAACAGTCCATATTCGGTCAGATTTACACATTCGCCAATTTCTTTTTTCACTGTTCCTTCTTGAGTCTTAGACTTTTCCTCCTAAAATAATTTTGCTTTTTCCTAAAGGACCTTGTTTAGAAGTTTCTTTAGTGAGTGTCTATTTGTAGTAAGCATTCTTAATTTTTATTTGTATAAAATTTCCTCTCACTCATGAAATAGTTTTCCTGGGTAATCAGTAATAGGTTGATCCTCATTAATATCTTCTGGCTTACATTATTGCCAAAATGAGTCATTCTAATTGGTGTCCCTTAATAGGCCATCTGCCTTTTCTCTCTGACTGCTTTTAAGATCTCCTCTCTATGGTATTTGCAATATCTCTATGATTTGTCCCAACATATATTTCTATATATCTTTCCTGTTTAGTATTCACTGGAATTCCTGAATATGAGGATTGGAGTCATTGCTCAATCCTAAAAATTGCCTTAGAATATTAATTCTTTTCATATTTTCTATTATCTTCTTCTGAAACTCCAATTAGATATATGCTGAACTTACTTTGCTCTATCCCAAGTATCTCTTAACCGTTTTTCTCTTTCTTTTTAAAAAATTTCCCATATCTTTGATTCTCTGTGTGATATTCTAGGTGATTTCTTCTGCTCTCCCTTCTAATTCACTAATGCTCACTTCAACATCACCTAATCCAATTATTAAATTATTAAATTTCACTGTGTGAAACTTAACTGGATTCTGGTTCAAAAAAAGCTGCTATGGGGCGCCTGGGTGGCTCAGTCAGTGAAGCGTCTGCCTTCGGCTCAGGTCATGATCCCAGGGTCCTGGGATGGAGCCCTGTGTGGGGCTCCCTGCTCAGCGGGAGGCCTGCTTCTCCCTCTGTCCCTCCCCCCACCCCCGCTGTGCTCTTGCTCTCTCTGAAATAAATAAATAATTTTTTTTAAAAAAGCATCTATAAAAAACATTTGGAGAACAACCGAAGAAATTAGCGTATGGATATAGATCTTGGATAACATTAAAGAATAATAGTTAATTTTCTTAGTGATAAGGGCATTACAGTAGGTAGGAAAGTGCTCTTGTCCTTAGGAGATGCCTGCTGTATCCCAAGTATACTTCTAAGTATGTAGGTGTGCAGTGTCATGATACTGTCAACATTCTTTCAAGTGGTTCAGCAAAAAAAATAAAATCTATATATACCTATATAGACAGGTAAAACAAAGATGGCAAAATGTTAACAATAGTTGAATCAAGACATAAGCTCTATGGATGTCCATTCTTTAAACTTTTCTGTAAGTCAGAAATTTTTCATAATATAAATATATAAATAATATAAAGTAGAAAACTATGAGAGTAGAAATTTAAATTTTTAATAGCTGGGTTAAATATAAAATCAAGGAAATCTAGTATGTAGAACAAACAAAAATAGGAAAATACAATAAAACTAGAGGAGGTTTAACATCTGATTTTTAGAAGTTTCAGAAAAAGAAAGGAAAAAGGAAGGAAGGGAGGAAGGAAGGAAATAATTGAAAGGGAGAGAGATGTCAAAGAAATAATATAAGAATATCCCAGAACTGAGGGCAAAATCTCTATATTGAAAGGAGTCACTAAGTGCTCAGCAAAGAATTAAAAAAAATAAACTCATACCAAGGCACACAAATGTGGCTTTTGGAATTGAGGACGGGAGGAATAGGAGGGAAGGGTAGAAAACCCGAAAAGCGGGCGCCTGGGTGGCTCAGTTGGTTAAGCGACTGCCTTCGGCTCAGGTCATGATCCTGGAGTCCCAGGATCGAGTCCCGCATCGGGCTCCCTGCTCAGCAGGGAGTCTGCTTCTCCCTCTGACCCTCTTCCCTCTCGTGCTCTCTCTCTCTCTCTATCTCATTCTCTCTCTCAAATAAATAAATAAAATCTTTAAAAAAAATAAAAAAAGAAAACCCGAAAAGCTTTCAGAGGGAAACAATAGGTCACACACAAAGGAATGTTCATCAAGTTATACCATACTTCTCAACAACACCAGATGCTAGAAGCAATGAAACCATGACTTAAAATTTCTGAAGGAAAATGCTTTTCAACTTAAAATACCTAGCCAAATTCTCAATCATGGGCAAAAGTAGAAAACAGAGTTAGCTGGGCAAGGACTCAGGGGGACTGACCTCCCACGCACCCTTTCTTACAAAGCGGCAAGTTGTTTGCCAGTCCAGTCAAGGAGTAAACGAAAGAAGAATTAAGATCTGGGAAATGGAATTCCACCCAGAAAGGCACAGTCAGTCCCAGGCCACAGCTTCTAACCTGGAGGGCAGCCAGTCCAGTCTGTAAGGAGAACGAGGCTGCAAGGGAAGGCCTTGTGGGGAGAGCAAAGGAACCACTAGGTTATCTGATGAGTTTAAGTATTTGGAGAAACTGCTACTGAGGAAAAGTATTGATAGATACATAGAAAATCAGAAAATTATAAAGAATAAGAGAAAAGAAGCATTTCTACAGAAAGGACTCTACAGCATAACACTTAGCTAAGAAGTGAACAATATTCACCTAATCATACTCAAGTAAATTCAGAATTTTAATTTTACCAAAATTTGTGACATAACTATTTGGGGAAGATGGTGGGCAAAGCATAATGTGAGAAGTCTAAATCTCATTTGTCAAAATAGGAACTCTGCTGATACTTTCTAAAAATAATAAATTAAAGGGGCGCCTGGGTGGCTCATTCGTTGAGTGTCTGCCTTCGGCTCAGGTCGTGATCCCGGGGTCCTGGGATCGAGCCCCGCATCGGGCTCCCTGCTCCGCGGGAAGCCTGCTTCTCCCTCTCCCACTCCCCCTGCTTGTGTTCCCCCTCTCGCTGTGTCTCTCTCTGTCAAATAAATAAATCTTTAAAAAATAATAAAAATAATAAATTAGGGCCACCTGGGTGGCTCAGTCAGTTGAGTCTCCAACTCTTGGTTTCAGCTCAGGCTGTGATTTCATGGTCCTGAGATCCAGCCCCATGTCGGGCTCTGCACTCAGCATGGATTCTGCTTGGGACTCTCTTTCCGTCTCCCTCAGCCCCTCCCCACTGTGCTCTCTCTCTCAAATAAATGAATAAATCTTAACCAAAAAAAGTAAAGAGAGATCCATGATGAAAGACTGGACTCTTAAAAAACAATAATAATAAATCAAAAACTAATAATAGAAAGATATTATTTAGGGGCGCCTGGGTGGCTCAGTCGGTTAAGCGTCTGCCTTCGGCTCAGGTCATGATCCCAGGATCCCAGCAGGATCGAGCCCCGCATCGGGCTCCCTGCTCAGTGGGGAGCCTGTTCCTCCCTCTCCCTCTACTCTTCCCCCCGCTTATGATCTCTCTCTCTCTCAAATAAATAAATAAATAAACCTTTAAAAAAAAGATATTATTTAGAAACATAGAGGTAAATCCCAAAAGAAATTGCTAAAAGAATTAAAAAGTTGGGGCGCCTGGGTGGCTCAGTCAGTTAAGCGTCCGACGCTTGATTTCGGCTCTGGGTCATGAGATCAAGGCCCAAGTCGGGCTCCACACTCAGCACAGAGTCTGCTTAAGATTCTCTCACTCCCTCTCCCTCTGCCCCTCCCCCCACTCACTCTCTAAATAAATAAATAAACAAACAAATAAATACATAAAATCTTTAAGAAAAAAGAATTAAAAGTAGCTGTGTCTGAGGAGAGGAATTTGCCGGGCAAGAGACTGCTATTCCTCTATGTACCTTTTGTATTGTTTGATTTTTTTAAAACTTTGCTCATGTATAAATGTAATAAAAATATACTTATTTCTTAAAAGAACTGGCCTCAAAAATTATACTGAGCTATTACGGTACTCTGCAGTGCTAATGTCATGGATTCAAACCCCAGTGGACATAAGAATCTCCTGGGATGCTTCTTTAAACTGGAGTCCCAGACCCCTACCAAGAATATGTGAATCCTTAGGTCTAGGGTGAATCCTGGGAATCTGCTTTTTAAACTGGCATCCCAGGTGATTCTGATGCAGGTCGTCCAAAGGGCACACTCGGAGGAGCCCAGAGTAGGTGCAGGCCGGCAGGAGTCAGTGACTGGACAGGGGCAGCATCCCCCGAGGGGGCAGGCTGCCAGGCCCCGGGGTCCACCTGCATCGGCTCCCAGCTCTCGAATGCGAGTTGTCCATCGAAGCATGGTGAAACTTTGAAAAAGCTGGGCTTTCTTGTGGATGTAATTCTGACACACACGTATCCTTCCTTCCCCACCCACGTTCTCTGCCTCAAAGTTCCTGAATTTGTAACCGTGGAAGTCTGTCTGTTGCCACAGGGCCTACTCTAACCGGGACTTGCGTTTGAGGTTGCGTTACCCACCCTCCACAGATTAGAGTCCCTGAATGGCCAGTCAGGGTCTTTGGGGGGATGGGGCAGGGACGTCAGGAGAATGAAGGCTTCATTAACCTCAGACAATGGCTTGGAGCAGATTCCTTCTATGCATTCAGCAGCCTGTATAGGATTAGTGTATACAGCATGTTTCGAAGGCCCCATGCTGTATCCCACTGGCCGCCAGTGTCAAAGGCATGAATGCCTTTTGCTGAGGCAGGGTAAGCCTCTCAGTAACTATATTTTTTCTTTTTAAAGAAAGAATCCCAGCAAGGCCGATGGAAGTACCCTAAGGGTCTCCAAGCCATCGTGGCCTGTCCTGGAGCTGTCCCTGGCTCTCTCGCTCCCCTTGCTGGCTCGCTCTCTGGCTGGCATGGTGCTGCCCCTTGACCGTGGGCTCAGGGGCCTCCAGCCAAAGCTGCTGACTCTGACCACGGCCTTTCTCTGGGCTGTGTTCATTTGCATCGCGCTGCTGAGGGTGGAGGAGCTATATAGGCTCCGGCCCATTCACGGGAGGATTAGGCCTGGACTGAGGGCGCAGGGGGAGAGAGGCCGCAGTGAAGGCCCAGCTCCTCTCCCTGAGCGGTCACCATGCCCTACCTGCTGCCAGGATTCTTCTGTGACCGCGTGATCAGGGAGCGGGACAGGAGAAATGGAGAGGGCACCGTCACACAGCCCCTCAAGTTTGAGGGGCAGGATTTTGTTGTTCTCAGACGACGGTGCCTAGCTCAGAAGTGCCTCTTTGAAGACCGTGTGTTCCCAGCAGGTGTTCAGGCCCTGGGCTCCCATGAGCTGAGCCAGAAAACCAAGATGAAGGCCATCACATGGAAAAGGCCGAAGGTAGGGATGGGAGGGACGGACGGGGCTTCAGGACTCAGTTCTTGGGGACAGGATGTCAGGTGGTCCAGAGCCTTGAAGCTGAGAATCCACGACCTGAGCAAGTGGCTTATCAAGGTTCTCTGACCCGTGTGCCCCCAGAAACTGGATATGTTATTTTCTATTCCTGAACTAGAGGTTATTATAGCCCTTTAGAGGCCTCTGAGCCTGTAAATATTTTTAAGAGAGCTAATGCGCTGGCTCCAATTCGTAGTAAAATAGTAAGGCATAATTGATGATCAAGTCTTCTTGAGGGCAGGTATTCTGGGGATGGGAAAGTGGAGTGGCTAAGAGCCCTGAGGCTCACAGTTGCAAGGAGAGTTCCACGAAAGGTGGTGAACAGTTAAGAAACAGCGGCTGTGGGAGGCTGGAGACGCCTTGGGAACCTTGCGCCTAAGGCTGGCTCATTAGGGATGCGCCGCTTCTGTTTAAACAGAAAGGTCCGTGCTGACCAGCCAGGCTTCTCACAATGCAATATGGTGCATCCACATTTAGGATTATGTGTTTTCTCGGAGAACTGCCTCCTTTATCATTATGTGATGCAACTCTTTATCCCTAATATTCTTTGTTATGAAGTCGGCTTCGTCTGAAATTAATACAACTACTTCAGCTTTCCTCTGATTAGTGCTAGCATGGCATATCCTTCTCTAGCTACCCGAGTCTTTATGTTTCAAGGGAGTTTCTTGTAGACAACATATAGACGGGTCTCCTTTTTTATCCACGCTCACAATCTCTATCTTTTCATTGGCGTATTTAGACCATTCCCGTTTAAGTTATTATGATGCGGCTAGATTCCTATCCACCCTGTTTATAACTGTTTTCTGCTTGTTAACAATTGTTCTTTGCTTCTCCTCTCCCCCCTTCTGCCTTTTCTAGTAATTTAATATTCTTTATGATTCCATTTTATCTCCTCTCTTAAGTGTGTACCAATTATACATGTTTTAATGTTAATGGTTATGCTACAGTTTCCAATATACATTTACAACTAATCTAATTCCACCTTCAAATAACACTATGCCATTATATATGCAGTCTAACACTTTATAACAGGAAATGCCCGGTTCCTCCCTGGCTTCCCTTCATTCATTTCACCTGTGCATAAGCGCATTCCTCAACACATTTGTTATTATTATTACTTTAAATAAAGTTATCTTTAGATTAAGAATAAGAAAAATCCAAGTTTTATTCTACCTTCCTTTATTCCTTCTCTGAAGCTCTTCCTTTCTTTATGTAGGTCCAGGTTTCTGACCTCTTACCATTTTCCTTCTCCCTGAAGCACTTCTCTTAACGTGTCTTGCGGGGCAAGTCTGCGGGCAATAAATTCTCTGTGGTTTTACTTGCCTGAGAAAGTCTTTATTTCTCATTCAGTTTTGTTTTGTTTTGTTTTGTTTAAGATTTTATTTATTTATTTGACAGAGAGAGACACAGCGAGGGAGGGAGCACAAGCAGGGGGAGTGGGAGAGGGAGAAGCAGGCTTCCCACGGAGCAGGGAGCCCGATGCGGGGCTCGGTCCCAGGACCCTGGGATCATGACCTGAGCCGAAGGCAGACACTTAATGATTGAGCCCCCCAGGTGCCCCTCTCGTTCAGTTTTGAAAGATAATTTCTTGCAGATAGAATTCGAGTTTGGTGGGTTTTTCTTTCATCAGTTTAAATATTTCAATCCAGGGGCACCTGGGTGGCTCAGTCAGCTAAGCATCCTACTCTTGATCTCAACTCAGGTCTTAATCTCAGGGTCATGAGTTCGAGCCCCAGCATGGAGCCTACTTAATAATTATTTATTACTTTTTAATAATTAATTAATTTCAATCCAGTCTTTCTCGCTTACATGGCTTCTGAAGAGAAGTCTGCTGTAATTATTATCTTTGTTTCTCTAGAGGAAAGGTATTTGTCCCCTCTTGGCTTCTTTAAACATTTTTTTTGTCTCTGGTTATCTGCAGTTTGAACACGATATGCCTAAGTATGGTTTTGTGTCATTGTATTTTGCTGGTACTTACGCCATTTGGTGTTCTTTGAGCTTCCTGGATCTGTGGTTTGGTATCTGTCATGAATTTTGCAAAGTTCTTGACCATTGTTACTTCAGGTATTTCTTCTCCTCTGTTTTCTCTTTCTTTTCCTCTGGTATTCTGGTTATGCATGTGTTTCACCTTTTGAAATTATCCCACAGTTTTTGGATGTTCTGCTCTGGTTTTTTTGGCTTTGGGTTTGTTTTGTTTTTTCATTATTTTTCCCTTTGCATTTCACTTTGGGAAGTTCCTTTGTCTCACCTTCAGTCTCATTGCTTTTTCCCCTTGTCTTTATCCAGTTTGTGGATGAGCCCATCAAATATATGTTACAGTGTTTTTTATTTACATCATTTCCTTTTGATTCGTTCTTAGTGTTTCCATCTCCCTGCTTATATTACCCATCTTTTCTTGCACATTATCTACTTTTTCCATTAGACTCCTTGACGTACTCATCATGGTTATTATAATAATAACGATTCCTGCCTGCTAATTTTGACATCTGTGTCATATCTGAAACTAGTTCTGCTTTCTCTCTTCACACTATTTTTGTTTGCCTTTTGGCATCCTTTGTAGTTTTTGCTGAAAGCCAGACATGTTGTTTTCAGTAATAAGAAGTGAGATGGATAAGCCTTTGCCATGAGGATTTATGTTAGGCTGACTGGGAGTTGTGCAGTGTTTAATATCTCTTGTAGCTGCAGGGGCCAGAGCCTTCAAATTCTTCTAGTATTTTTGTTTTGCCCCTCACCCCACCCTCCTCTTGCCTTTGGACTTTCCTAAGTACTCCTTCTCAGGGTTTGCACCTAGAAGCTCTTTGGCTCTAAGTGGCTGTTATTACACTGAAGCCCTGTTGATGGGGTGTTAAGGTGGGAAGGGAAGGGTTCCATAACCTAATGACTAAATCTCCATCTTTTAATGGGCCTATGTGACCTTCATACCCATTTCCCCCTTGGGATAGCGTTTTTTCCCCTTCTTAGGTGAGAAAGGAAGGTTGGAGGGGGCTGGAAGGGGCACAGTGCCCTTCCCCCAACTTAGGTACTGGAAAAGAGGGGGATCTCTCTTAGACCTTCACCATGAGAACTTGGTGGGATTTTTGGAGGTAAAATCCATGACAGTATGTGTGGGAGTGGGGGAGGATCATCCCAAGACTGTGGCCTCCAGAAGTTTCTTACTCTCATGCTAGTCTACACTCAACCTCCAGAAATTCATCAAAATTACCAGTTAAGTGTTCCCACCACTTCATGGCCTTGGCAGCTTCTGTTCTAGATAAGCACATCTCGGCTGTAACTCTCTAGTTTCACTCGTGTCCCTATTTCAGGGTGGTGGATTGCCCTGCAACCTCAGTTCTCTAATGGGTCCAAGCAAAGATGCTGATTTTCAGTTTGTTCAGCTTTTTCTTGTGGTAAGGACAAGGGTGATGACTTTCAAGCTCTTCACATGTTGGAACTGAACCAGAAGTCCTCCACATATATCTACTTTAGCCCATCCTTTTAAGTGTATGTTTCTATGATTTTATAATGCACAGTATATGGTAGGACAATCAATATACACATATACAATTTAAAACCAATAAGAATATTTACATAGGGTTGCATGTTCAACATATTTTACTGATGGAGGTAAACAATAAAAGTTTGGAGTCACTGTGCAAACCATGGTACCCAAGAACTGAGGAAATGGTCATCTGTTGCTCATTGCTGGGACTCCATCATTGACAGATCCAGTCTCCAGGCTAAATTATAGCCAAAGGAAGAGCTAGAAATCTTAGGTCCCCAAGTTAGAATGACAGAGCTGGGACCATTTACCCTTTGTTCGTATTAGCCAACATAAACAGGTCTCAGACCCTCTACGGGGTATTTACATAGTGTTTTTAAGTAAGGAGAGAGGGAAAAGTAGGTGGTAGGGCGGGGGTATCTAGGCAAATCAGAGCTTGTTTATGAATTAACCTTCAATAAGCTTGGTAACTGATCCTCACCAAACAGACATCTTTTACGAGGACAAACAGTTAAGAGCCTCTAGGTTGTGGGTTTCCTGGAGGGCAGGCAGGGATGATTTCCCATTTTTACTGTACCCTTAATTCCCCCAGCTCTGTACATACTTGGGGGCTCAATTAATGTTTGGTGAACTGTAGCTAAGGTGGTGTTGAAGGTAAATGTGGTATATTGGGGAATCTACTACTGCAAAAAACCTAACTCCATTCCAATACCTGGACCTCCAAATAGATGGACGAGATATCAGAGTAGTTGCTGCTGCCTTTCCGCGTAGCCAGGCCTGGAACTGGTGGGCAGGAGGATGATGAAGCGTGCCTCTGAATGCATATCCCAAGGAGAAGCTAGACCTGCAACAACTAAAAACTGTAGCTACAAGTTGGGTATTTGAGTCACTATATAATATATTCCTTATAGCAGGGGCAGAACATCCAGTAGTCAAGGGTTTCAGTGGGCAAGTAGGAGAGGCCCAACTCAAATTAGCTTAAACCAAAAAAAAAAAAAAAAACCTCATAGAATTTGAATGTTCAAGGGTGATGTTGGATTCAGACACACCTAAATCCAGCCCTCAAACCTTGTCATCAAGACACAGCCCCTCATAGCATCTATCTATAGACCTATCATCTGTTTATCTATCTGTCCCCACCTCCTTTCCCTCCCCCCAGCCCCATCTGTTTCCTCTGAGTTGGCTTTAGTCTCAAGCAGACTAACTTCGCAAGGGGCAAAGGTGTCACTGGCAGCCTCAGGCTGACCTTCTACCAGTTTAGCAACCATAGCAGAAGAATGTACAGTGGACTCTCGTGTAAGCTGCCTGGGTCCACTGATACATGGATTTTTTTTTTTTTTATAAATCCAGTATAGTACTGTAAAAGTATTTTCTCTCCCTTATGATTTTCTTAATAATATTTTCTTCTCCCCAGCTAATGTTATTGTAAGAATACAGCGTAGGATACATATAACATACAAAATATGTGTTAAGCGACTGTTTAGGTCATCGATAAGCCTTCCAGTCAAGAGTAGGCTACTGGTATTAAGCTTTTAGGGAGTCAAAAGTGATATGTGGATTTTTGATTGTGCAGGGGTCGATGCCTCCAATCCCAGTGTAGATCAAGGGCCAGTTATATATATTTTTTCTCAATAGTTACAACAAAAGTCTTAGTGGATACCTCATTGACCCAGATTTGGTCATGCGCCCATCCCTGAACCAATCACTCTCACTCACTAGTTGCCCCTACTATATGTCTAGAGCTGGGTGAAGGGGGAAGCTCACCAGAAGGGTGTGATTTGACAGTGGAGCTGTTCCCCAGTGAAAAGGTGAGGTATAACCCTTGGAGAAGGGGATTTTTCAAGGAAGCAAAACACTGGGGAGACCAAAAAACATGTTCGCTATCCCTTACTTGGCTTCTTTTTAAGAGGAAGGAGTCTTGGAGCACCTGGGTGGGTCAGTTGGTTAAGTATCTGCCTCAGGTCATGATCCTGGGGTCCTGGGATCCAGCCCAGCCTCAGGCTCCCTGCTCAGCGGGGAGTCTGCTCCTCCCTCTCCCTCGGCCCCTCCCTCGCTGCTTGTTCTCTCTCTCTCACTCAAATAAGTAAAATCTTTAAAATAATAATAATAAAAAATTTTTAAATTTTATTAAAGAGGAAGGAGTCTTGGTCTGGAATAATGAGTTTTACCTTGCCTTTGTGGGAAATGATTTTTAAAAACCACAATCTGGGGGCGCCTGGCTGGCTCAGTCAGTAGAGCATGTGACTCTTGATCTCGGGGTTATGGGCTCTATCCCCATATTGGGCAAGGAGCCTACTTAAAAAATAATAATAAAATCTTAAAAAAAAAACCCACACACAACACAATCTGGTGTTGATGTTCTCTTTATTACCAGATTGTTACTGCTTCTAGTTTTTTGGGAGGATTTTTTTGGTGGGGGTTGTTTAGTTGTTTTCAATGCAGAGAGATAGGAAATATTTTCTTAGGAAAAAAATAAATCATGAGTTATGTTTATATATCTAATTCAACCCTAACATTGCAGAGTTGTTACTTAAATCATTTGATTTTGTAATATTACATATTTTCTCTTATGGTAAAAAAAATCTTGGTACCTAATGACATTAATATAAGTTCTTATTTATCATATAGCATACAGGTCAAACTTTTGAAATAGTGACATTATTATTATTTATGATTCATATTTCTTTATGATTTGGGTTTTTGACCTTAGGATATATCCCAAAAGGAATAAAGAGTCAAAATATTACATTTTAAGTCACTTGAAATAATTCTTTTTATGTGTGTGGTCATGTCACCAACTTGATACGCAGTTAAACTCCTTTGCTTCAATTTGCTTTCAGCTTTTACAAACTGTTTTTTTAAAAATTGTCTTTCTTGGGGCGCCTGGGTGGCTCAGTCGTTAAGCGTCTGCCTTCGGCTCAGGTCATGATCCCAGGGTCCTGGGATCCAGCCCCTCATAGGCTCCCTGCTCCGCGGGAAGCCTGCTTCTCCCTCTCCCACTCCCCCTGCTTGTGTTCCCTCTCTCGCTGTGTCTCTCTGTCAAATAAATAAATAAAATCTTTTTTTTTTAATTGTCTTTCCTTTAATTTTGGCTTTAAGAAAAAAAAATTTTTTTAAGTAGGGCTCCATGCCCAACATGGGGCTTGAACTCATGACCCTGAAATCAAGAGGAGCAACACTCTAGGGACTGAGCCAGCCAGGCACCGCTTGGCTTTTAATTATGTACAAATTTACTTGGTTCCTAAGTCAAAACTCTTTTCACTTATATTCAGTTTTACTTCCATCCCTATTCCCACCACGTTATTCCCTCCCTCCCCCTAGAGATAACCTTTTTATGAATTCTTGATTGGGGTTTATCCTTCCATTGCATTAGGAGTTTCAGACAAGAGGTGCATACGGTGTGACTTAAGCAAGACTGCATCCAGTAGGAGGGAGCGATCCCCGAGCGCAGGGAGCTCCTACTCACACGGGTATATGGAGTTGTCATGGGGGCTGGCGTGGGGAGAGAGACACGCGCACACGCACAAGGAGATACAGAGCGAGAGAGAGGGCTGGGTCACAGGGATAGCAAGTCTTCTTCAAGCTCTGAGGAATGGTGTTAAAACCAAAACAAAGAATCTACAATTATTTCAAAATTTTCGGAGTTAAAAAAACAAAGCGTAAGTCATAGAAAGAAAAAACAAGAGCGCCCTCTGTTGGCCGCTGTTGGGCTGCACATAATCTGTAGTAGCTGAAAACTGCCGGCGGGGCGGGGGGGGTTGCGTACTGGGTTAGCTTGAGGAAATAAATGTGCCCTGGGGCTCTCTGATCTCAGCTCTCAGCTCAGGTCTTGATCTCTTAGAGTCGTGAGTTCAAGCCCCGAGTTGGGTGCCATACTGGGTGTGGCGCCTACTTAAAAAAAAAAATACCTTTAACTGACCAGGGGGCCTGCAGGGCCCACATCAAATTTCCTCTCTGCTCTCCCCAGCTCTCAAGTGCTACAGACCCTGCTGACTCTAAATATCTATGTTACCACATCTTGGCAAGAAAGATCTTTATTTTCCTTCCTGCACTTATTTTCCCGGCATAGAAAAAAAACAACAGCCATGCTTGCCGTTGTCCCTTGCCAAAGATATGACAGTAATGACATTGCCCTAACTCTCAAGGTATATCCTTACATAGATAGTATGTCCGTGTGTGGGAACAATGTAGAACAATGGGAAAAGGAGGCATGTTTCTGGCTTCCACCACTTATTAGCTGTGTGTCCTTGGGTAAATTCCTTAACCTCTCTGAGCCCTGGTTTCCTTGTCTGAAAAATAAGAACGATAGTATCCAATTCACAGGCTGTTTTGGGGGCTTAACTGAGCGGTGTGTACAACGCTCCTGATGTGGGATGTCAGCACAACATTACATAAGGAGCCTCAATAAACAATAGCTCCTACTACTGTCATTATTTCCTTTCTGTTTCACAGGAAATTTGTGAGAATCCCCGATTTATCATCGGTGGAGCCAACAGAACGGACATCTGTCAAGGAGATCTAGGTAGGCAAGTCCCCTGAGATCATATCCAGCCAAACAATCAAGGGGTGATTAAAAGGTGTGGTCCCTTTACGGGAAGTAAAGGGTCAATAATCTGGTTTTGGTCTTAATGCGTTTTGGGGAGGAGGCTTTTCTAACACTACTTCATGCCCATGTATGTATGTGCTGGTGATGGCTTCATTTACTTTCTGTTCCTCCCACATCTCTCATCAGTTCTTTGCCTCCTGTCACGGGAGCTATGCCTCGTTCTGCAGCATCCTCCCTAAAGTCTCAAGGACACTTGCGCACCCCACTCCGCAAGATAAAAGCCTTACTTTTAACTGTACCCACTCCCTTAAAAGAGAGCTCTGAAACTGCGCACCAAGCACGTCCCTGGAATCTATATGGAATCTGTATGCACATGGAAAGTGCACTTGTAACTCACTCTCTTGTTGACAATGCCCCAGCGTCACTCCACATGAAAGGAGTCTTTCCACAAAGATGGCAGTTGCCATGGGATTCACGTCCAGTGTTCTGTCTGGGTGGTCAGCTTGGCTCTTCCACCAGACCTTCCTCTCAGGAAGTATTCTCTCCGGTGTGGACTGCGGGAAAGCTCTGCGAAGCAAAGTTCGAGAGAACATCAACAGGCATAGTTTAAAACTTGCGGGGAAAGAGCATCCAAACCCAGTGAAATGAACTTGGCTTATTTGGCCCCAGAAAGAGAGGCTGAGGAGGTTTTCAGTATCTGGGTTCCTACACCCGGGGGAAGGCTGCCTACAGAGCCCTGGGCAAGCTCATAATCTGGACCTTCTAACAGAAACTGTTTCAAAGGAGAGGCTTGCTTCTTCCGGGGGCGGGGGGGGATGGCGGCGGGGAGGGCTGCTGGCCACTCTTAGTCTCCCCTATGCAGGCTCAAGGATGCCATCACATCTGCACATCCAAACAAACCCATCCTCCTTAGAGGGCAGCTCTGTGACTGCGAGTGTACCAGGCATGCCCCCTAGGCATTCTCTCTCTCTCTCTCTCTCTCTCTCACACACACACACACACACACACACACACAGCAAAATGACTACACACCATGCTCTGCCAGAAAGGAAGTTCAGGGAATAAGAAAATATCCCCACCTCATTCCATTGTGAGCAATGTCTTCGTGCCCCCTGTAAAGTGGTTGCAGGGCAGCTGCCTAACCGACTTTCCTTCCAGTACCAATGGGCTTGGCCAATGGCTCTCAGATGCTCAGCCTCCCCCGAAGGGGAGAAATGCACTCACGTTGCAAAGGTCTGGGCAGTGCAGATTTCATACGGGTGTTAGGAAGAATGACCCAATGTTGACCTGTGTTGACCTACTGCTCTGTCTTCCTTGAGGCCCCAAAAGGAAGTGAGCTTATATTACAGATGGAGGAATTGCCTACAGCCTTCAGGAAAACCGGTCAGAAGGGAGTAGGTTACCCTGACCGCATTGCCGAGGGACCGCTAGCAAACTGCTCTGGGTCGACACCTCTGGGAATAGGACAGTGAACACTAAGTGAACTCGTTCAGCAGAAGGGTCAGCTGGAATGGGGCCTTTTTCCTCCCCGGACGTAACCCCTGCCCTGTACTTGCCTGCAGGGGACTGCTGGTTTCTCGCAGCCATTGCTTGCCTGACCCTGAACGAGCGCCTGCTTTTCCGAGTCATACCCCACGATCAGAGTTTCACCGAAAACTACGCGGGGATCTTCCACTTCCAGGTGAGGGAACTGGAGTGTGGTTAAGAGGCCCAGCTGCTGTCCACCCAGCCCCGGTCTCCTGGCTTTGCCTTCCCAGCAGCTTCAGGAAAGGTTCCACCCACACCCTCCCTGCCTTGGCCGTGGGCAGGGACCCCCTTAAGGCCTCAGGCCTGCGAGGAAGCAGTTGTTTATCTCTGCCCCCTTAGCCTGTCTTCCCCTGCCCCCCCCCCACCTTCCGCTGTGCCCCAGAAAGGCAGGAAGACATCCTGTTTGCTGGCCTGTGGGTCTATTTTTGCCTCTCCAGCTGGCTGGCTGCTACGGTATTACCCACAGCCCTTCTCAAGTAGGTCCCCAGCTACTAGCAATGGGAATTCTTAAGGCCCTTTGGTTCACGAAGGAAACAACAGGCGCCCTGCGTGATTATGGCTGCTTTTCTTGTTGCCCTTTAAGGTGGGTCTATACGACCTCTCGCACTCCCCTTTTCTAGGCCCTGGAAGGAAAGTCTGGTCAATCTGGGGACCAGGCTTCTGGTTCGGCCCCTAAATGAGTCTTTGGTTTCCAGACTCAATTAAACCACTGGAAATTTTCTAGATCCAAATTGTCCTGTCAGAGAGCCAAATCCTGGTGCTGGCCCAGCACTGAAGTGAGTTCCACATGTGGGGATCCAGCAGAGGCTGGGGTTCTGAGGCATCGATCTGTTTCCAGCCCTGGAAGCTCCTAATGTCCTGGAACTGACCTGAATCATCACTTGGTGGACCTGCTGATCTTGTACCTCACCACTGAAGGCCTCAGAAAAGGTCCCTGATCAGGTTCAGGTTCACAGTCCTGCTGCCCCCTGAGCATGGGTAAGGCAGCCAGGTCCTCATTTTTGTTTCTCTCCTGGGCCATCAAGCTGCTAAGTATTCCTCTGATATTTCAAGGGTCTTATGCCTCGAGGGTCATATATAAAGACCAGATAGATTTTTGCCCTCTTTTCAATAAAGGAAAAAATATCATTAGAAGGAGATTAAACCATATTTGGCCTTCCTCAGTTAAAACTGATTTGTTCAAGAAAGAACAACATCCAGGGGCGTCTGGGTGGTTCTGTCGGTTAAGTGGCCGACTCTTGATTTTGGCTCAGGTCATGATCTCAGGGCCATGAGATTGAGTCCCATGTCGGTCTCTTTGCTCAGTGTGGAGTCTGCTTCAGATTCTCTCCCTCTCCACCCAGCTCATACTCTAGCTCAAATAAATAAATAAAACCTTAAAAAGAGAGAGAGAGAGAGAGAGAGAGAGAGAACATCCAGAACTGGAATTAGTAGACGATGATCCTGTTATGGCCAGACTATATTCTGGGGCACTTCCCTCTTCCCTGTCAATCTTTCTTCTTCAGCAGCAATTTCTACCTTGTTTGTCATCAAGAAATCTATAATCAATACATCACCTTCACCTAGACCAGTAGTTCTCAACACTGGCTGCACACTAGAGTCAGTTAAAATACCTAAAATACAATACATAGACCCCACTCCAGACCTACTGATCAGGAGAATGAAAATCTCAAGTCCTCAGATATGCACGGAGCACCTACCATCCCCAGGACGGGGCTGGACTGTGTGGAAGAGATAAAGTGGTAGGTACCTCACTTTCTGCCCCCGAGGAACTCACAGTCCAGTTAGACAAAGATACACACACCCCAAGCCATAAGAGTATGGGCAAGCACCAAGGCGCAGAGTGGAGGAAATGGGACTGTTTGTCAAAGAGACTCTAAGGAATGTGGAGTAGAGACACGTTTCCCAAAGGTGATCTGACAATGTGACTTGTTGCTTTTGTGCAGTTCTGGCGCTATGGAGACTGGGTGGATGTGGTTATTGATGACTGCCTGCCGACTTACAACAATCAACTGGTTTTCACCAAATCCAACCACCGCAATGAATTCTGGAGTGCTCTGCTGGAGAAGGCTTATGCTAAGTAAGACAACACTTTAGGTTGTGAGGCAGGGCTAGAGGTGGGGGGCTGCAAAATCCAGTCAAAGTCCTGTCACTAGAGGAGGTATTTGTGTGTGTGTGTGTGTGTGTGTGTGTGTGTGTGTGTGTTCAACTGTGACCCAAAGTCAGAGACAATCGGGTCTAGGAAGCAATGGCTCAAACTAAAAACACTATATTTAAGAGTAGAATGAAGACATGTGTAGAAAATCTTTAGATGTGGTTTCCCATAGTGAGCACTCTAATTCTGCCTTTAGAATTAAAGGTCGGTGTTGCAAGTCTTGGATCTGAGCATTCTATCTCTGAAGCTCACATCCCAGGGTCTTGCTTGGCTCAACCTCCTGACCTTGCAGTATATTAATAAGGTCATGTTATCTCTCAACTTCGAAGCTTCACCGCAGCTACTACTAATGGCTTTAATGGAACCCTTCCGTAGGGTTTAGGGTATGGTGGAAAGAGAACTCTCAGGAGGTAGGAATAGCTGGGTTCTAGTCCCAGTGCTTCTGGGTCTCTGGTGCCTTGGGCAAGCCACTTGTTGGCCTCTGGAGCTCAGTTTTTCCAATGTGAAGAAAGGGAGTCATAGTATCCATCCCATTAGCTTACAGGGTTGTTGGGGGATTAGATAAGAAAACATCACAGGACCCGAGAGTAAAATTCTGGTGGCATGGCACCTGGGTCATGTCTCCTGGAACCCTGTGACCTCAGACTGGTCTTCATTCTCTCTCCAAGGCTCCATGGTTCCTACGAGGCTCTGAAAGGCGGGAACACTACTGAGGCCATGGAGGACTTCACAGGAGGGGTGACCGAGTTTTTTGAGATCAAGGATGCTCCCAGAGACATGTACAAGATCATGAAGAAAGCCATCGAGAGAGGCTCCCTCATGGGCTGCTCCATTGATGTAAGTCTGAAGTGTGGGATGCAGGGCAGGGAGCTGCCGACTGTCAGGAAGCCTGTCATGTGATGAAGAGCAGCATAGGGCTTTCCTCCGGGACAGGGTGGATGTTTTGTTTTAGGAAGCAGGCACTGGCTCTCAACTTTGAAAATTTCTCAAGGAAGAAGTGTTCCTGGGGATTTTCACCAAAGAGATGGGGCAAAGACATTCCAAGCCCTGGACTTTAGGTAGAAATAGGTCCAGAGGCCTGCGTCAGCACGGGCCTCCTGTAGTCAGTGGGGTTCGGCCTCAGCATGGCCCAGTCAAGCTGGCCACATATCTGGTTCTGGACCAGAGCCCGCCATTCCCCAAGACAGCCTCCCAGTCCCTGAGCTTTGGTCTTGTCTCTCTTAGGACGTGGACTTTGTGTTGTAATCTGAGAGACGCTTGGCCAGCAGGCACGGCCTCGGTGTGGCAGAGACGGGGGCCAAGGGGAAGGAGATGGTAGGCTGGCCAGGCCTCCTGACTTTCAGGAGGCACACCTGCCCTGGAGGCTGCTTGGTGTGTAACAGTCTTGGCACCTTCCGTCACTGAGGAAGGGGCCCAAGCTGAATTCCTGAATTTCCTTCCTTTGCCCGTACTCCAAATGGGTCCAAAAGCATGGGAAGATCAGTTAGCCTTAAACACCCGTAGATGAACATTTTCTTTCTGTATCACTTTTCTCCATCTTGTCTCCATTCATGCTGTTTCTCTCTCTTTTCCTTGTCTGTCCCCGTCCTTCTCTCTGTCTCCTTCCCTTTCCATCACCCTCCCTTGTTTGCTCTCACTCCCTCTCCTGGACTGTCCTTGTTCCCATCGGGCGTCAGGATGGCACAAACATGACCTATGGAACCTCACCTTCTGGACTGAAAATGGGGGAGTTGATTGCGCGGATGGTGAGGAATATGGATAACTCGCAGCTCAGGGACTCAGACCTCGTCCCCAGAGGCTCAGATGACAGACCGACCCGGGTGTGTACACCTCCAGCTTTCAGGACTGGCTACCCCTCTGGCCTGCATGACCCGGGCCTCCTGGTGTTAGATTCCCCTCAGCAGCCAGTGCCTCCCACACTGACCTCTGCATGGGCCTCCCAAGGGTCTGGGTTGGAATAACTTGCCCGCTCCAAGGCTCCTGAAGAAGGTGGGAGAGACCGGATCTGGAGGGAATCTCTGTGGGAGTTCCTTCATACCCGTGGTCCTGGCAGTTTCTCTGATAACAAATTAACAAGCGGAAATACAAGAGAGACTTCACTTATTTTAAAATACTTCTCCTCTTCTAATTCATTCAGTTGTTCCTTCAACACATATTTATTGAGCTCCTACTGAGTGCCAGACACTCCTTCTAGTAAACAAACAAAATAGTTTTTGTTCACTAGAATAGTCTCTTCCCTCATGGAGCTATATTCTAGTACTTTCGGAAGTAATGCACGTTCGCTGAAGAATACTGCCTGAGCCATCCAGAAAAGCACAGAGGAAAAATTAACCTACATTCTCTCCCATCTAAAGGTAGTTAACTCTAAGGATCTAGTATACATCCATCTAGGATTTTTCTTTGCATACAGTTCATCTAAATGTTTGTTTTTTAAAATCTCATACTCTTTGTAGTTATGCTTTTCTCAGCCAGCTTTATGTTCTTAATATGCCAATATGAATTATATTGTTAATGTGTCTCCTAAAACATCTTTTGGTGGCTGCACAGTATGCTGACATACAGATAAGTTATAATTTATTAACCCCATACCCTATTATCGGAAAATTGGATTGTTTTCTCTTTCTCGTGTTGGCTGTTATTTTTAAATGCTATCATGAAAACATCCTGAGAGATGCATCTTTGTGCATGTTGTGATGATCCTTTGGGACCGATTGCCAGTGGAGGATTGGCTAGGTGTGCATAAGTAATGCCAAAGGAGTCGTTGCAGGTGGTTTCCCAGGTCTAGACTTGAGGGATGTGTGGGTCTCCTGCCCCATCCCTTTCTATTCAGCATCATCTGGGTCATGTAAGGACTGAGATGTGGAAGAGGCTAAGATGCCAAAAAGCCCCGGCTCCACCCACATCCCTGAGCCTGGAAAGGCTCACGATCTGCACAGCCCAGCACGGCTGCCGGAAGCTCTTCTTAAAGCTGTCACATGACCAGGCAACGTGAAGCCACAGAGATATGGTCTAGGGCTCACTGGGCGTTGGAGATCCTACCCCTCGGCTGAGCATCTCCTGGGGCTGCCACTTGGGAATTTCTGCAAATGAAAAAGCTTCTCCTGCCTCTTAGGCTGAGTCATGTCTGAGCAGGACTCGCCTCTGGCCTCCTCCAGATTCCCCTCCCTGGGCACTGTGACTCTTGATTTCTCGAGTATCATGTTCTTGGTGGGTCTGGAGGACATGAGGGCATATACAGAAAGGAGGTTAGACCTATATATTTCATCTAACCTCTTTTCTCACATCCTTTCTCTTCCGGGAGGAATCAGCTCTGGGTGGGCTCAGGGGATGGGGGGAGCCTGAGTCCCAGGGCAGCCACCATCTGTCCCTGTTCCTCCTCTGAAGACCGCAAGAGATCCAGAAAGGAGGGGCGGGGCTGTTCTCGCCGACCTCGACATCGTCCCAGCCTCACGTAGATCTCCAATGGTCAGAACGGACCTTTTCAGGGCCACCAGCTTGAGGGGAACCACTGGTCTCGGCTGTGCCTTCTTGCCTCTCCGAAAGGGCCGGCAGTGGTCCTCGCATGGTCGGGAGGCCCCCTTTCAGAGCACGGAGGAGTCCTTGTCCTCACAGAACCTGGAAAATTACCTCATGTGCACTTTGTCTCAGAGGAGACAGAACTTCTGCCCCCCAACCCCTGACAGGCTGTCTGGTTTTTGCTCCACAGACAATTGTTCCGGTTCAGTATGAAACAAGAATGGCTTGCGGGCTAGTCAAGGGCCATGCCTACTCTGTCACTGGGCTGGAGGAGGTGAGGCTGGTGCGGTGGGCGGGCTTGGGAGCCACTTGGGTCACCTCCCGGAGTCAGGACTTAGCTTTCTGGGCCCCTTCACCTCTGCAGAGCCTGCCTCCTCTTGGGGCGGGGCAGGGGGGAGGGCGGGGCGGGTGTTCTGCTCAAGGTCTGGGTCCGGCGCCTGTGGCTGGAGGGCCCCGCCGCCCCCACCCTGGGATGGGTAAGAGGTGGATCTTGCCACAAGGTGGCGCTCAGATCATCTTTGCTTTTAGTGCTAAAGATGGCAGTTTTCCCCAACATTTCCAGGGAACAGATAGAAAGCGCTTTGGTTTTATGGAATTGATTTCACGGGTTCTCGTGTTTCCTGTTCTCTGGGAGTTGAACAGTTACAATATTTTGCTCCTGGCACGTCTGGCTGGAGACAGGAAACTTGTCAGGACCACTGTGCACAGCTGGGCAGGCTGGGTCCCATCCACAGGGATGGGCAGAGACTGGAGGAAGGGGTACCTTTTTCTAATTGGTCCACCTATGGGGGCCATTTGTCTGTAGTCCCTCAGCCGGCAGGGGTGTTTTGTTGTTGTTGGTTTTTTTTTTTTTTTTCTAATTCAAACAGAGACGCCTAGTGTGCTAGACTGGCCCCACAAAATACACCCTCCCTCCTCCCCTCAAGCTCATAATGGCCGGGAAAATCACTTCTTAGTAGATAGTCAAGCCCGGACCGCTGCAGACTCAGTCTTAGGGTTCTGACATTCCCTCTGCCATTCCACAGAGAGCCTCTGATTAGTCTCCTTGACCAGGACCAGGCAGTACAGGATTCTCTCCCTAGCCCCATCCTAGCCCTCAGGGCAAGACCGAAAACCCCCTTTCCAGGAAGGCCCAGACCAAGAGAGCTTTTTCTCTTTGTCCAAGGCCCTGTTCAAGGGAGAGAAAGTGAAGCTGGTGCGGCTGCGGAACCCCTGGGGCCAGGTGGAGTGGAACGGCTCCTGGAGTGATGGGTAGGTGAGGGGGGCCCGCAGAGCCCGGGGCCAGGCTGTGTTGGATACTGCACCATAAGAGTCCTACAAGTGCCTCGTCTAAAATTACCCTCAAAACCCATGATCCGCAGAGGGGAAGAGGGGATGTGGGCTCCAGGGAAGGGCCTGCAGAGGAGCCAGGGGAGCTGGGGATCCACAGACCCCACTGATGGCCATTGGCTGAAAAGGAAAGATTCTAGAAGGCATGGGCTAGGTCCAGGTAGAAGCAAAGTTTGAAGGCAGGGGTCTGGACTAGAGTAGTGATTTCCCTTCTCTGTTTCCTTCTTTGTAAAATGGGAACAATGTTACCACGTACACAGGGAGCTGGAGAGTGCCTAGCCAGTGCTAAGATTTCCTCTCTCTCGCTGCCCCTGAAAGATCTTGCCGCTTATCACCCAGAGGAATGAACTGGGGGCTGCAAAAGTAACAAACACAGGCAAGTTATATGATGGCTGGAAAATATTTACAAAGCTTTCAGAGTGCACCCAGTCACCGGATCCCAAATGCCTCACTAAGTGGGGGGTAGCCCCTCGGGCTCTTTCATTCCCGAGAGGACATAGCAGGACTGGGTCGCTGCATGAGGACTCTTCAGCCCCTGGGCTTACCTCCACCCACGGCACTAGCACTGCTGGTTCATTCGGCTCTATCCTTCACTTAGTTATCACCGAGCACCTGCTGGACAGCAGGCACAGGTCTGGGCACTGAGGATATTCCCTGAACAGGCAGCCTCCCCAGAGGGACTGGGGTAATCTGCTGACTCTAGTCTTTTTACTGCCTCTTGCAGACATTCGAGGCATTCCTTCCCTCAGCAGTGACACAAATTGTCACTTCCTCTGGGCCCAGGTGCTACTACCTAGGGACTTAGAAATGAACAGGGAGACACAGGCCCTGCCCCTGTGGACTTTAAGTTCCAGTGGGAAGGACAAAACGACCTCTAATAAGGAAGATGAAGGTCCCAAAGAGGGAGTCCCTCATCTAGTTTGGGTGGGATAGGAAGAGTAGAGGAAGGTCGCCGGAGAGAGCCACATAGGACTTAGGCTCTCTGCTCTGGGTAAGGCCCTCGGGGCCCCGTCAGCGGTTCGCTGGCCCGGGTCACCCACCGGGACCCTCGCTGTGTTCTCTAGCCCCATAGTTTGGGGTCCAGCCTTAACCCACATCCTGCCAATGCCTCCCTGCTGGGAGTGCTGACAAGTGGGGCCCATCTCTGGGTCACTCAAGGAGACCACCCTCCCTGCTCTCGGTCCCTCCTTCTGCTCTCTGGAACCTCAGTTTCCCCTCGAGCATTCCCTGACCCCAAGCCCTTCCTCAATCCCTTCCCTTGCCAAGGACAACCCAGTTTAGCTTTTTTCTCCTCAGTTGTGCCTGAAACACAAATGTGCTTCATTTCCTCCCTCCTGAGGAGAGTACAGAAAACCAGCCAGCCTTTAGAAACATGCAGCCAGGCTATTTCTTGAGGTGGCAGGAGAAAGGAAATGTTTACATGCTTGGTCTTCTTAGAACTCAAACAGTTATTTATTAGAGGGCAGGCGCTGGTCTAAAACTTTTGCATGCATTTTGAATGCATTTCATTCATTGCTCGTCGCAGCCCTCTAAGTAGATGATAATACTCATTCCCCTTTTGCAGTTGGGGAAATGGACGCTGAGAGGTTAAGCGACATGCTCAAGGTTACACAGCTAGTACTGGTATTATTAAATGGAATCCTGGGGGGCGCCCGGGTGGCTCAGTCTGTTAAGTGTCCAACTCTTGATCTCAGCTCTGGTCTTAATCTCAGAGTTGTGAGTTTAAGCCCCATGTTGGGCTCCCTGCTGGGCATGAAGCCTACTTAAAAAAAAAAAAAATTCTAAAACTAAATGGAATCCAGTTAGTCTATTTCCAGAGGTCAGCTCTTAACCTTTAAAGTGTGAGGAGGGATAAAAACAAACAAACAAAAACCAAAACAAACAAACAAACAAAAAAACTGAGCCAGAGAGGGATCAAGCCCTTACAAACCCATTTAAGGTCTTATTCCTGCGGATGGTGAGAAGCTATTATTGGGTTTTACACTGAGGGAGTCAGATCAGATTTCCATTTTGATGCTTCATGCTTGCTGCAATTTGGAGGCGGGCTAGTCTTTCAACTTTTTCATATTTCTCTTGATACCTCCTGCACCAACCTACATCAGGCCTCCCCTTCTTCTTCCTTCCCTAATTCCTCCATTTTCCCTCCAGTTGGAAGGACTGGAGCTTTGTGGACAAAGCTGAGAAGGCTCGTCTGCAGCACCAGGTCACTGAGGATGGAGAGTTCTGGTGAGTCCAAGACCCAGGAGGCCCCGAAAGGTAAAGGATGAGGTGGGGAGCTGAAATCTCAAACCTCAATCCCCAGAAAGAGGCCATCAGACCCCAGCCCTCAGGAGATCTGGGCCCTGTTCTCCTCCTCCAGTCCAAGGCCCAGCAAGGATGGGGTTCTGAGAGGAGCTGACCAGGTCACAGTGGTGACTGAGCCTGGGACCAAGCCAGCATGATGTGGCTCCTGCCTCACCTGTGCCCCTCTGTGGCACATGCGGCTCCAGCTACTTGCTCCCTGGCCTTTGCAGAGCTGTCTTCTGAGCCAAGGCAGCTCTACTTTGCTCACCCAATGCCACGCTCACCCTTCACTCAGATCATTTCTACTCAGCCCTCAAGTCTCAGCTTCCAGGGAACTTTCTTCAGGATCCCCCTGTTTTGCCCAGGCCTGGGATTAATTAGTGAGACTCATCACCCTCGAAATTGCTTGCTTAGTTGTCTGCCTCTCTTTCTGCTGAGCCCAGCACAGTGGCTGGGTCCAGTACGGAGGGACACGGTTCTATTGGAGAACTGAAGTGCTGCCAAGCTCTCCCATCAAGGACATAGAAGTTTGAGTCATTCCTGGAAGAGATGCTAGTTTGGGGTGGAGACATGAGAACAGTGTGTACCCTAAAAGGGAGAGACAGGGTCGTCTGCGGGCCCATCCCCAAGTTCGCCTGAACTGTCTGATCATGCAGCGCTCGTCCCAGCCTCCCATATGGGTCTCTCTCTTCCAACCCCTCAGGATGTCATATGACGATTTCATCTACCATTTCACAAAACTGGAGATCTGCAACCTCACGGCCGATGCCCTGGAGTCCGACAAGCTGCAGACGTGGACAGTGTCCGTGAATGAGGGCCGCTGGGTGAGGGGCTGCTCTGCCGGAGGCTGCCGCAACTTCCCAGGTGGGAGAGGCTCTGGATGGGGGAGGGGCTGTGCAGAACCAGTTCCAGGGGGAGCTGAGTCTGTACTAAGTTCCCAGGGGTATCTTGTCTTATGAAACCCTCCCCATTTTACCGAGAAGGAGACGGCCAGGCTGAGGAGCGTGCAGTAGGGAGCTGGTAACAACTTTTAAGCAGGACACTGTGTCAGAACGATGCTGCGTTCCTAATGCTGAGGATGGGGACTGAACCCAGAGTTAGCAGCGACGGCAAGGGTGCAAGCCAGAGATGATGAGAGCCGGAGCATGTCCCAAGCAGTGGAGATGGAGGGAAGGGGGCAGGTTCAGGGGACAGAATATTGGGTGAAGTCCCTGAAGAGTGACTTCAAGTTTCCCAGTTTGGGGGGGCCTGAGGGGATGGTGTCAGTGTCGCAACATAAGACACACAGGAGAAAAAACTCAGCGTGTTGTTGGCTTTTTGGTGGAGTTGGTCGTGGGCTTGTAGGGAGGGGAGTTGAGCTGGGGACGTGGGAAGTTTGAGGCCCCTGTAGAATATCCAGGTGAAGATGTGTCACAGAGAATTGGATGCACAGATTAGAATGGTCCTTGGTTGTATGATTAGAACTCAACATATATTTGTGGGAGAGAGGATGGAAAGAAGAGAAGAAGGAGGGAGGGAAGGAGGGAGGGAGGGAGTCAAATGCACATGGGGGCTGGGATCTGCATCGTCATTATGCAGGGACAGTTAAAAAGTGGATAAGACGGCCTGGGGGCATAGAACAGTGGGGTGGGAGAGAGGCCTGAGCCCACATCCCAGGGACCAACAGCATTTCAAGGGCAGGCGAGGAAAGGGAAGCCATCAGCAGAGACTGAGAATCACAGTTCAGAGAAGGAGGAGGAGCCAAACAGCCAAGCAGTGGGGCTCCATCTGTAGAAAGGTCCAGGCTACCCACTGCTCCCCCCACGTCATTTGACAAACGCCGGAATCACTCCTTCTGTATTTATTGAGCACCTAGAGGCAGGAGATAAGCAGGTCCCCTCTGTCTTATTCCTCTTCCTGCCCGTTCTCTGAGAGGCAGATCCGAACATACATTTCTTTCCTGGGGGGCACAGACACTTTCTGGACCAACCCCCAGTACCGTCTGAAGCTCCTGGAGGAGGACGATGACCCCGACGACTCTGAGGTGATCTGCAGCTTCCTGGTGGCCCTGATGCAGAAGAACCGGCGGAAGGACCGGAAGCTGGGGGCCAACCTGTTCACCATTGGCTTTGCCATCTACGAGGTGTGCAGCTCCTGACCAGCTTCAGCCCTAGACACACATTACATTCCTCAGAGGGGAGGGTTTCGGGGGATCCCCAGTACTCAGTGACCCCCAGAACTCCTGGTATCAGGCCCACTTGTGTCAGAAGCTCTTAGATATTTGTCACAGGAGGAAAAAAACCTGGGATGGGGGAAGTGGAGTGGGGCTGGGGCTGGCTGGATAGGTGGTGGGAAATCAGGCTTCTGCACTCACTGCATGGTTGCTGGCATTCCCTTCCTGCGTGATTTTCATCCCGATTCAGATGAGAAATCCACAGAATCTGAGCATCTTCTTTTTTCTGTTTCTCCTCAAGGTTCCCAAAGAGGTATAGAAGTGGCAGTGGCCAGCAATTGTGTGCAGCATTGCCCGGGGGTCCTGTGTCCGTCAGTGGCACATCGGGAAGCTTCCTGGTGGGGTTTGAGGGCAGGACTATGACAGGGGAGGGTCTTGCCTGTGTCACGAACTCCAGAGAGGTGCCTCAGGGTGGCCTCCCGACTGTCACTGTCACGATGTGCCCTTTCTTTCTTCCCACCAGAGACAGTCACACACATGCTCTCACACATTCATATTCATGTCTCACACACATGCGCACACACTTGCTCATACTCATACACATTTGCACTCACAATTACACACACACAGTCACACAGACACATTCTGAGGGTGACTGCCCTCTTTGGGATGGAGGAATCGCCTCCCTCAGACCCCAGCCAAGGCCCCTCCTGCCTCCTTGGGGTCCTTCCCCAGCCTGGAGGTGATTTGGAGCTGACCAGCAGCAGTTCCGGTAAGTGGGGGAATGATAGACTTGACCTTCACTTCTGAATCACAACAGAAAAGGAGGAGGAAATGGGGTAGGGAGCTCCGGGGATATTGAGCTATTTGAGGCCTTGGGAGTTGGAGGTAGGTAGGTCATGACTGTGAACTGGGTGACCAGGGAGTCGGGAAGAGACCCCCGGGGGGCTGTGAGCAGGACAGGGTGTCCTTCGCAAGGAGCTCAGTTCCTTGGCTCTTCTCTCCATCAGATGCATGGGAACAAACAGCACCTGCAGAAGGACTTCTTCCTGTACAATGCTTCCAAGGCCAGGAGCAAAACCTACATCAATATGCGAGAGGTGTCCGAGCGCTTCCGCCTGCCTCCCAGCGAGTACGTCATTGTACCCTCCACCTATGAGCCCCACCAGGAGGGAGAATTCATCCTCCGGGTCTTCTCCGAAAAGAGGAACCTCTCTGAGTGAGTCAGCCCCCTGTTCCCCACCTGTCCCTAAAAGCCCATGCAGCCCATTCCAGAGACTGGAGGCATGAGGTAGCTGGACCAGTCCCCTCTAGGAGTCCTGGATAAGGCTGACCAGGCTGTCCGTCGTCCCTCTTCCCCTGCTCCTGAGCCACTAGCCTCACCTCCTCCATTCAGTCAGTCTGTCATCCCACAGATATTTCTTGAGCACCTGCTGTGTTCCAAGCACTCTTCTTATAGGCACTGAGGCTAGGCAGTGAATTAAACAAAGAAATCCCTGCCCTCGTGGAGTTTAACATTCTAACAGGAGACAAGGCATGGGGAAAAACACACACATATATGTTACAGGAAGATAAGTGATAAGAAGAAAGAAAGAGAGTAGGGAACAGGAATAGGAGGCATTGGGGGTGATGGAATTTTTAGGTAAGGTGGCCAGGGAAGTCAGCACGGCCACATCCTGCATTTTTGGTCATTGAAGATGAGCTCATAAGCCCGACTCCTCTGAACTCTGCCCTTGAAAGAAACACAAGGTCCATGGGTAGGTGGCTGGGCCTGACTTTGGGGAGCTCTGGGCAAAGCCAGCAAGAACCCATGTGTGTGCCCTTGGCTGCTGGGGCTGGTGCCAACATGGGGCTGGTTCCTGCGGTGGGAGAATTAGGTCCTGGGGTTCCTTTGAGGTCAGTCCCGATCTGGCTCTGAGAAGCTGCATGACCTGAGCAAATCCTCTCTGTGCTTCCTGCTTGCTCCTGGTGACACTGAGACCCCCCCCCCCACGTTTGTGTTTCTCACAGGGAAGTTGAAAATACAATCTCCGTGGATCGGCCAGTGGTGAGTGGTTTGGTTCTGATGTGTGAAAAGGTCCCGAGGGTCACCTTCCCTAATCCAGGCAGGGGAGAGAAGGGTGGTGGAGGGGAGAGAGGGTACTGGCAAAGGAAGATGGGAGTCTGGGGGCGTGCAGAGCAATTCTTCCACATTCTTGCAATTTTTCTTTGCCATGACTAGAGTAACAGGCCTCATGGCGCTGGGGCCACACAGCCCAGGGGCTAGGACGTGCAGAAGAGAGTCCTAGAGGGGAGAAGTGGTTTGAACCGCTAGAGGGAGGGGTCAAAGCCATAGGAAGGGACACCAAGGGCAGCAACTAGCTTGGATTATGAGGGCCAATCTCAGATACATAATATACACACTAGCTCTGGAGTCAGTGTCAAAACCTGGGTCCTCCACCTACCAGCTGGGTGATTTGGACAAGTTACATAACCCCTCAGTTTTCCTCCTCTGTAAAATAGAATAGGAGGTGCCTTGCAAGGCTTTGTGACGTTGGAATTGGTGAGATCATGTATGTGAAGTGTCTGGCACAGCATGGGCTCCCACACGGTGGTTATTAGTCATGGGCTTTATATCTTACAAGGTACTTCTCCCGTGCATTACCTCACTTGATCCTTGCAAAGTTTCTGAGATGCAATAAGGTTATTATTATCCCTGGCATTAAAGTAAGGAAGGAGAGGCCCAGTGGGGTTAAATGGCTCCCTTGGGTTCCCAGAGCTCATAAGTGACAGGGCTGGAACTGACATCTAGATTCCTAGAGCCCAGGTTCAGGCTCTTTCCTTGGTCACATGCCAAGACCTGTTCCCAGGGATGTGAATCCCAGAGTTACAAGCACAGAGTTGGCGTATGTGGTGTCTCCTTGTATTAAGGAGTCTTGTGCCTGCCTTAGGCCTTGGGGCCCTGGTTTGTAAACCAGTCCCTTGTGCTGTGTGACTTTGGCCAATAAGAGTACAGCAAATGCCCCACCGAACTGTCTTCTGGGTAGTCACACTCACGGTTCTAAACCTGACCCTGTCCAAGTGCCTTCTGAATTATCATGGGACATTGGTTTTAGTATTAAGTGCATTTGGTTCTGTTCTTATCTTTTATTTTATATATTTTTAAAGATTTTATTTATTTATTTGAGAGAAGGAGAGAGCACACGCAAGGGGTGGGGCAGAGGCAGAGGGACAAGCAGACTCCCTGCTGAGTGTGGAACCCAATGCAGGGTTTGACCCCAAGATCACGACCTGAGCTAAAGTCAGACGCTTAACCCACTGAGCCACCCAGGCGCCTCTATTCTTATCTTTTAAACATTAGTCATCAGCGTAGTATATTTATCAGGAATTTCAAACTCAGGAGAGTATGGGAACTGGCATGCCACCTGAACAGGGCAGGCAGGTGTGGGGGTGTGGATGTCCCTGGACACAGGCATATGGCCTGCAGTTCTCAACAGACTCTTAAGCTTCAGTGTTGGAGGGACAACTGGAGTGGTGGTGACTGTGGCATCTGGAGGGCGCCGACAGCAGCTACTCTCAGCTCCCCATTTTTGCCACAGTGGGTCGCAGGCGCATGCAGCCTGCCAGACCTTCTAGTTTTATTTATTTTTTAAAGCCCAAAACCTAGATTTCCATATTAAGTCTCTCCCTGTTAAATATTTGCAAAAACAACAGAAAAAAAACAAAAAAGAAAACAAAACCCAAAACTCTGTAAATCAAACAAAATTCATTTTTAGGCAAATTTGGGTGAGCCACTTCTTTTGGTGTTTTAGTAACTAACTTCCATTAAAAATACAAAACATTGGCGCCTCAGTGGCTCAGTCATTAAGCGTCTGCCTTCGGCATAGGTCATGATCCCAGGGTCCTGGGATCGAGCCCCGCATCGGCTCCCTGCTCCGTGGGAAGCCTGCTTCTCCCTCTCCCACTCCCCCTGCTTGTGTTCCTTCTCTCAGTGTCTCTCTGTCCAATAAATTAATTTAAAAAAAAATACAAAACATTAGCCAGAAGATCCCTTTCCTTGGTGGTGTCCAGAATAGGAGTGGATTATAAACCAGAGCCGCCACCAGGGCAGCCGCCGGTCTCTGGGCCCAGAAAATTCTCACCTCCCTTCACCCTCCAGGCCTCTTTTGGTTCTATGTAGGCCAGATTCCTGGACCCCGGAACCTCACCCCAAGCTGAGGACCAAGTCACAGGGAAGCCAAAAGCCACTGGGTTTTCTGGAAACTTGACTTTCACTCATTCTGCATTTATTGTTTCCTTTCCTTATGCAGAAAAAGAAAAAAACCAAGGTGGGTGTAACAGGGTGAGTGGGTAGACAGCAGAGGGTGTTTGTGCATGTGTGTGTGTGACTGCATGTGTACCAGACTTGCCTCCTCCCTCACTGCCCCCCCCCCGCCACCCTCCTGGGCCCGAGGTGCAGCTCTGGGTGTGGACCAATGTTACACGGGCCAAGGGAAGGCTGCATGCCAGGCACTCTTCCAGGTGCTTTGCATGGATATGCTCAATCCTCACAATGACCCTGTGAAACTGGTACTGTCAGTATCCCCACTTTCAGAGGACAAGGTGCAGACAGATGAACTGACTTGTCCAAGGCTGCAGAGCCAGTAAGTGTTAGAGCCTGCACTGGGAGCCGGGCAGTCTGGCCCCAGAGTCTGCTCTGCACCCCCATGCCCACCTCTCCAATGAGGGAGGGAGGGGATGGCCAACCAGTGAAAACGGGCCTCTTGCAAACACCAGAAGGAGCACCCCTTTTCTCTCAGAAGTGGGTTTGGCTCTGCTAAGCAAGGCTTGATTCTTGGAGGGAATGGCAGCTGGTTGTTTCTCAGGGCACAGTGAGGTAGGTGTGCGAGGGTTTCCAGGGAGCTGGTCTCAAGCTACCAGCCACCTGCTCCGTGGACAGGACTGCTCCTTCTCCCTCCTTTCTTTTCCCTGCCTGCTCCCCACTCGTCCTTTTCTCTTGGCCTGCCAGGGTTGGGGCAAAAGAGGGTGCCCAGAGAGGCTAAGTCATTGCTGGGGCTCTTATTCCAGGAGACGCTCTTGTTCCAAATCCCCTTCTAGACAAGTGATCTCTCGTTCCAAACGCAGGCTCCGCTAAAGCCATGGGACCCAACAGACTCGGCGTGCTGCGTCCAGCTAGCAGTGGGGCAGAGGGAAGAGATCTCACAGCCCCAGAGGAGCTCATCAGCCTGACTGGTTTAATGGGGAATGAGAGCTACCTGGGCAGCTTCCCCTCTTGGGGTCTTGGTAGGTTGTGGTGATCTATGGATTCACCAGGGCCTCTAAGATCTCCTCCTACGTGTCCTGGTTATAACCACTCGGCTGTAAGGACACTATTGCTAAAGGCGACCATGTGTGCTTAGAGCATCTCAGGGGCCTCCGAGCTAAGCTTTCATCTGGGACCAGGGGCACTGTTCCCTTTGTGTAGTTTTAGAATTCAAGATTACAGTTGTTGAGCAATTCAAACTCCCTCCTACATCCTTGTTCCGTTTACCCCATAACCTTCCCATGGTCTCCGGGGCCTACCATGATGGCTAACCCGTTCCAAATTTTGGGTTGACCAGAGTGCCATCCGGAAATGACATTTGAGAATCCTCAAGTCCATAAGGTAGTTGCCATAGGCCATCAGACAAGGTTTGGTGCTAGTGTTTATGGTGGTTCCTGGAAAGATCCAACATAGAGGTCCTCTGAGTATTGAAGCTGGTGCAGACCAGAGCTGACATTGATCAAGCACCTACCACATATCAGGCACTGTGCTAGGGGTAAAACATACACTGCTTTCTGTTACAACAGCATCTATAACGTAGGTGCCATTATCATTCCCTTTCTGTAGATAGTTTACAAATATTCAGAGAAGTGAAGAAACTTGCCCAAGGACACACAACTAATGAGTGGGGAAACTGGAAGCCATATCTATCTGCTCTAAACCCATGTTCCTTGCCCTTACCAATCTGGTTCAGGCTCCTTACACTCCAAGACCTGTGTTATCCAGACCCACACTTAGGCCCAGAGACGTGTGCCTTAGCAGGGGTGACCCATGGACACACCATGTCCATAGGCACACATTTCCCCTGCAACTGTGATCCACACCTGCTCTAGGAGCCCCACAAGAATCACTTGCTTGAGCAAGACCCTTTGCTTGAAAGGCAGGGCAAGCCAGAGCCTTTGGGGCCTGCTGGGAACCAAAGTTCTGGAAGCTTGTTTCCACAGGTCTGCCCATTGGTGCTCTTCTAGATGAACAGCATGGAAGAGCAGAGATTCAGAAACTAGTCAGGTTGCTTTTCTGCATTGAGAGACTCTGATTGCCCCATTGCTTTCCGCACGGCAGCCACAAACCCTGACGCCTTAGCTTTCTTCTGGCTTTCCCTGTGCGGCATATGGCTCCAGCTGGGATCCACGTAGCATGGCAACTGCTCTCTACTCTTTTTGTGTCCTCTTCACTTGCATGAGCATGTCTTGAGTCTGAAATATTTTGCAGTACAACTTTATACTTGGTATCTCATGCGCACCCCCACCCAAGAGTCCTATGGGAAAGGTCAAGCAGGTTTTGTCATCCACATTAATGGATGAGTAACCAGAGGCCAGAGAGGATATTGCTTGTATGTGAGGGCAGCGCTGGACTTCCAGCTCCGTGTTCTGACCTCTCCCGCACTGACTGTGCCACTAATCCGAGACCTTTTTTCAGTCTGTCCTCTGCAGAGTCGTAGAGGTTCCTTGTTGGTGCCTCCCAGCTACCATGGGTGACATGGGTGTGCTGAGGGAAAAAAGCTCTATCCTCTTCATCGGGCAGAGAAGCTTGTCTTCAATGACTTCATATACACTGGGCTTCTGGGGAAATTTAATTTGAACAGTATTTCCATTTAAAAAGAAAAAGCCTCCAAAATACTTGAAAAATATAAATCACACTGCTTTTAACACTCTTAGCATTTTCACGTGTACTGACGACCTTAACCCTCAGAGCTCCACCATCAGGAGATAAGGAACTGAGATAGTTTCTGTAGTTTACAGGTATTCAGAGAAGTGAAGAAACTTGCCCAAGCACACACAACTAATAAGTGGGGAAACTGGAAGCCATATCTATCTGCTCTAAGCCCATGTTTTTACTTGAAACATGCCACGTGCCCGCTCAGCCTGTAATCCCTGCTTCCTCCCTGCCCCTTCCCACTTCCCTCTTCTCTCCAGCCCATCATCTTCGTTTCGGACAGAGCAAACAGCAACAAGGACCTGGGTGTGGACCAGGAATCAGAGGAGGGCAAAGACAAAACAAGCCCTGATAAGCAAGAGAAATCCCCACAGGTTTCTGAGCATGTGGCATGAATGGGGTGGCCAGCATACCCTGGGGTCCTCTGGATTGGAGGGGCTCTAGGGTGGGGTGTCCCTATAACATCTGGAGGTTTGGATGTATCCCACTGACCTTTTCTCTCATCAAGTTCTCCTAAAATTTGGGGTGCTGCTTGGGTGAATGTCTTGGGGGTTGGCAGCCACACCACGCCAGTCCTGGGCCTGGGAAGGACAGGCTGAGCCTGCCCGTTGGAGCCCCCAGCCCGGACAGTGAAGGAAACGGGAGGCAAAGCCTGAGACACAACCAGCTTGAGAGAGCCCAAGACAGAGCAGCCCCTGTTTCCTGGCATCTTCGAGCTCTTGACAGTGAGAGGAATAGAGGATAGTAGCAGAAAAGGGGGTGGACCTCAGAAATGGAGGCCCGCAGAGCCCAGGGAAGGGTATTCTATTCAAGTGGGGAGAGGGGGGCATAGAAACTTAGTGGGGCTGAGGCTAAGGGACCAAAGCCCACAGACAAAGCCAGGGCCACGTCCTCTATGCTGCAGGGTCCATGCAGTGGAGTGGGGGGGTCCTCCGAGGACTTAGCCTTGAAGACACAGGTGGACACAGGTGGCTGGAGGTGTCAGAATGCTCTGGTCCCCTCTGTCCTTCTCATCTGGTTGAGAAGGTCAAGTTGAAAACAGTGGGGAAGGCTCTAGCTGGTGGGTGGGGAGAGAGGGCCAAGGGGGCTGTCCACATGTCTGCATGGCTGATGTAAGCTCTCTGGCTAGGATGTCTGGAATGAAGGGTCACTGGGGCCTAGAGGATTCTCACTCCAGCTCACTAGGCTCAACTAAGAAAGAAAAGCCTTTGTCCTGTACCCAGCTCCTGCTGCCACCTAGGGCTGTTTCGACACTCTGGCTGCTTCGGCCCTGAAAGAATTTCCTCCTGCGTCTGCCCATCTCCCTGATGACCTGTGAACCAGTCTTCCTTTGTGCTTCCACAGCCACGGCCTGGCAACACTGACCAAGAGAGTGAGGAGCAGTTGCAGTTCCGGAACATTTTTAGGCAGATAGCAGGCGATGTGAGTACCGCCAACCCTGACTCCTCTCCTGCTCAAATGACCGGTTATTTCACTATTGTTCAGTAGGGGTCATTAGGCTTTTGGTGGAAGCAGGGGCTATGTATGTGTAGTACAGAAAAAACCCACCAGTCAGGTCCTAGACCATCATCCGCTTGGGTGGCTCAGAGGCCTTTATGCCCTGAGCTGCCCACTGCAGTCTGGACGTGGAGGGCGCCGTGTCTTCCTTGGAAAAGCCCCGGCTTCCCAGGACAGCACGGCAGTGACCGAGACTTGACAAGCACGGACAGCTGGGACTTGTTTTGCAGACTGTTCTTCTCTACTTCCTTCCTCCTCAGGACATGGAGGTCTGTGCAGATGAGCTCAAGAATATCCTTAACACGGTTGTGAACAAACGTGAGTGGTTCACAGTGTATGTGGAGGACGGGCAGGCAGGAGCGGGTGTCCAGGTACCTGAAAGAAGCTCCTCACTCTTCCCTACCCCCCAGATAAGGACCTGAAGACACAAGGGTTCACGCTGGAGTCCTGCCGTAGCATGATCGCCCTCATGGATGTATCCTTCCTGCTGCCCTTCCCCACCACACTTCTCTGTCATCAGCCCCTGTGCAGCCCACGGGGGCCAAGGCAACAAGGGGTGCCCAGTCAGAAAGAGAGGCCCAAATTTGTGCCTAAGGGAGGACTTGAGGTCCTGAGCTACTGGTCTGAAGGGGGCTGTTGGAGGAGGCACAGCTGGGCAGGACATTGGGCTATAACCAGCCCCTAACCTCTGCCCTCACCTCAGGCCTAGGATTCTGCCCAGGGCCTGGTCTAAGCCAACATGGTCCTGAGGAGACAGGCTCCCTGGGTTTTAGAGCAGACACGAACTCTGACTGCGGAGGCGTGGAAGGGAGGGTTAAATACCAGGACAGGGCAGTGGGTGGCTACCCGGGGCAGAGCCTTCCTGTGAGGTGACCTTCCCTGGAGTCGCTAGAACCCCCTCCTCCCGGTCCAGGGGGATCTCGCTATGCGTGTCCTGTAGCCCTGACCTCCTTCCTCCAGACAGATGGCTCTGGCAGGCTGAACTTGCAAGAGTTCCATCACCTCTGGAAGAAGATTAAAGCCTGGCAGGTGAGAAGAGAAGGAAGCATGCGAGTGAAGGAGGGGGGCTAATTCTGGGGTTTACCGTGTAACCTCTGTCTGCAAATTTTCTGTTGCCAGAGAATTTTCAAACACTATGACACAGACCAATCTGGTACCATCAACAGCTATGAGATGCGAAATGCAGTCAATGACGCAGGTGCTGGGGAAGACGGTGGGGGGTGGGGACATGGACAGGGCTAGCGGAGTCGGTGGGTTGGGGGGACAGAGGAGGGACACGGGGTGGCTGAGAGGCAGGGAACAGGACATAATGCAGGCAAGGACTCAGCCTACTTCCTCCTTCCCCACACCGCCCTCCACAGGTTTTCACCTCAACAGCCAGCTCTACGACATCATTACCATGCGCTACGCAGACAAACACATGAACATCGACTTCGACAGCTTCATCTGCTGCTTCGTCAGGCTGGAGGGCATGTTCAGTAAGTGCGGGGGCCGCCCTTCCGTGCCCTGGGGCCGGATGGCCGCACCGCTAGGAATCTCGGCCTGACCGTCTTCCAGTCTACTCTCTCCAAGCTGAACAAAGGCAAAGGCCCACTTTAAGCTCAGAATGGGCTGGTAAAGGGAGGGTGATTGTGCCTACCCTGCCTGGCACATTTTTGTGCTGAAGGACAGCACGTAGCACACGGTCCTCTGAAGAGAAGTTACAGTAGTGGAGGGGAAGTGAGCCTGCAACTGCCTGTGTGTTCTTCCCCACAGGAGCTTTTAATGCATTTGACAAGGATGGAGACGGTATCATCAAACTCAACGTTCTCGAGGTAAAGCCTAACAGAAGCAGTATATTCACCCTGTACCTTAAAATTCCAGGTGGAGGGTGACTGGAGGCACTGTGTGCTCCTCGCTTCCAAATGCTGGGGGAGGGATGGCCTAGGAAAGGAATAGAAAGGCAACTTCATAGGGAATGCATACTGGGGGAAGACTCCAAAGGGTACTCAGATCCTAAAAGGCTTTTCTGCGGGAAAACATACCTTCCTAGTAGAGATCGGAGAAGCAGGCCCTAAACCACTGCTTCTTAGAAAATCTTCCCAGGGTCTGGCATGCTGGGGCTGTCATTCTCCCCCCACCTTATCAGACCCTTAGGGTTGGGCTCTCTTTTCTTGGTTGCATTCTGATCTTGGGACTTCCTCTTTCAGTGGCTGCAGCTCACCATGTATGCCTGAACCAAGCTGGCCTCATCCAAGGCCATAGAGATCACTCAGGATTTCCATTTCATCCAATATAGCTAGAGCCACTTACCTCAAAGGACACTGTAGCTGCGCCCCGCCCGGCCCCCCAGCAAGCCTCCAGGCACCTCATCGGTCTCGTTCCTCCTCTGCTTCACTCCCCACTCGGCCTCAGGGCATCTGTCCATCTGTCACACCCACACTGACCCTTCAGTTAAGAAATGAGAGAGAATAATTTTGTCCTTTCGCCACATGGAGCCACGTGTCTGTCTGCCTCAGCAAGTTGTAGTCCAGCTGAGCGGTTTGCTCAGGATCTGAGCGGCCTCAGCTCTGAAGTAAATGCTCTCCTTAGCTTGCCCTAGGCTGTTCACAGAAGCGTTTGCCAATGGCACCCAGCACTTCCTGTGTTAGTGTCCTCCGTCGCCTTCGTGTCACCCATGGGACGGTAACCAAACTAGCACTTGGTTCTCATTGTTTCAGGATGGGCCTGCTCTGGGATAAACTAGCTCAGTGGAAGAGGGCTGGATACTGACTCATAAGTTTGGCTGCATTCTGAAAAAGAGTTGATCTAAATAAAGGCATGTGTATGGCTGGTTCAGTTGTGTTTTGTCTTCTCACATTTAGAGTATCAGCCAGAGCAGGGCTGAGTAGCCTCCAATGTTACACTCACTGTCATGCAGAGAGCCCGAGTTTCAGAAGACAACAAGAGACACATATGCACACACAAACAAAACCTGGATCCCATGGTAACCGTGCCTATTGGTATTTCTTGAACACAGGAGTCACTCCGATACTTTCCAAGATCGGTAAGAAAGGGAAGAGCTGTTGGTGTATAGAATATCAAGAATAAATGAGCAGCCCTGTCACTGGAGGGGCCAGTTACCTGAGTGTAATGGAACAGAGATGTAGTTGTGGTTTTTGTTTTTGAGGAGTGTCAGGTGTGATTTGACATCTGTAGACACTATACTCACCCAAAAGTCTGCTTGCTATCCAACACCCTACCATCGACCCCCTTTTGTGCCTACTACCCACCCCCCTCCCAAACCTCTTCCCCTCTGGTAACCACTGATCTGTCTTCTGTATCTGAGTTTTGTTTTTTTAGATTCCATGTACAAGCAAAACCATACAGTATTTGTTTTTCTCCTTCTGAGTTATTTCACTGCTTAATACCCTCAAGGTCCACCTATGTTGTTGCCAATAGCAAGATTTCATTCTTTTTTTATGGCTCAGTAGTATGCCATACATATACACCATAGCTTCTTTATTCACGCACCCACTGATGGACACTTAGGTTGTTTCCTATTCTGATTATTGTAAATAATGCTGCAGTGAACAAAGGAGTGTAGGTATCTTTTCAAGTTAGTGTTTTGGTACCCTTCAAACACTCTGTAGTTCAATAGCTGGATCACATGGTCATTCTTAATTTTCTTAACAATCTCCATACTGTTCTTCCAAGTGGCTGCGCCAACTTATAACCCACCAAGTGTCCAAAGGTTCCCTTTCCTCTACATCCTCACTGACACTTATTACTTTTTATCTTTTTGATAATAGCCATTCTGACAGATGTGAGGTGGCAACTCATGGGTTTTCATTTACATTTCCCTAATAATTAATGATGTTGAGTATCTTTTCACATGCCTGCTGGCCATCTGAATGTCTTCTTTGGAGAAATGTCTATTTCTCTCCATTTTTTAATTGGGTTTTTTGTTGTTGTTGTGTGAGTTCTTCATATATTTTACATATGAACCCCTTATCAGATGTATAGTTTCCAATTATGTTCTTCCATTTGGTAGGTTACCTTTTCGTTTTGATGATGGTTTCCTTTGCTGTGCAGAAACCTTTTAGCTTATCAAGTCCCACTTGTTTATTTTTGCTTTTATTTCTGTTGCCTTTGGAGTCTGATCACAAAAACAATGCTAAGACTGTTGTCATGGAGCTTACCACCTATGTTTTCTTCCAGAACAGTTCTCACATTCAAGCCTTTAATACATTTTGAATAAATTTTTGTGCATGGTATAAGATAATGATCTAGTTTCTTTCATTTACATAGGGCTGATCAGTTTTCCCAACACCACGTATTTTAAGAGAGTGTCTTTTCTCATTGTATGTTCTCGGTTTCTTTATCAGAAAATATCTGTATAGGTGTAGGTTTATTTCTGGGTTCTCAGTTCTGTTCCATTGATCTGGGTGTGTTTTTTTGCCAGTACCATACTGTTTTGATTCCTATAGCTTGGTAGAATAGTTTGAAACCAGGGAGCAACCAGCTTGGCTCTTCTTTGTTAAGATTGCTTTGGGTTTTGGGGCTCTCTTGTGCTTCCATAAAAATTTGAAGATTGGCTCCACACTGGGCTCCCTGCTCAGCAGGAAGCCTGCTTCTCCCTCTCTCACTCCCCCTGCTTGTGTTCCCTCTCTCCACTCTGTCAAATAAATAAAATCTTAAAAAATTTTAGGATTGTCTACTCTGTGAAATATGTCACTGGGGCTTTGACAGGGATTGCACTGAAATCTGTAGATCGCTTTGGTTAGTATGGGCATTGTAACAATATTAATTCTTCCAATCCATGAGCACTGAATATCTTTCCATTTATTTGTGTCTTCTTCAATTTCTTTCATTAATGTTTTGTAGTTTCCAGTGTATAGGTCTTTTACTTCCTTGGTTATATTTATTCATAGGCACTTTATTCTTTATGATACAACTGTAAATGGGATTTTCTGGATTTGATAGTTCAAACTATTATCAGTGTTTAGCAATGTAACATATTTTTATATCTTGATTTTGTATCCTGCAACTTCACTGAATTCTTTTTATTCTAAGTTTGTGGGGTCTTTGGGGTTTTCTATATATATATATATCATGTCATCTGCAAATAGTGACAGTTTTACTTCTTCCTTTCCAATCTGGATGCCTTTTATATCTTTTTCTTACCTAATTGACTTGCCTAGGACTTCTAATACCTATGTTGAGTAAGTGGTGAGAGTGGGCATCCTTGTCTCGTTCCTGATCTTAGAGAAAAAGCTTGTAGCTTTTCCCCATTGTGTTGTTAGCTGTGGGCTTATCATATATGGTCTTTAGTATGTTGAGGTATATTCCCTCTATACCCAACACTTTTTGAGAGTTTTTATCATAAATGGGTGTTGGAATTATGTCAAATACTTTTTCTCCGTTTATTGAGATGATGTTTTTATCGTTCTTTTTGTTAATGTGGTTAATTACATTGATTTACAGATGTTGAACCATCCTTGTATCACTGGAGTAAATCCCATTTGATCGTGGGGTATGACCCTTTTTTTTAATGCATTAATTTGATTTGCTAATACTGTGTTGAGGATTTTTGAATGTATATTCATCAAGAATTGGCTTGTAATTTTCTAGTGTCATCCTTGTCTTGTTTTGGTATTAGGGTAATGATGGCCTTGTAGAATGAGTTTGGGAATGTTCCCTTCTCTTCCGTTTTTTTTTTTGGAAGAATTTGAGAAGAATTGGTATTAATTCTTCTTTGAATGTTTGGTAGAATTCACCAGTGAAGCTGTCTGGTCCTGGGCTTTTGTTTGTTGGGAGGTTTTTGATTATTGATTTGAGTTTCCTTACTAGCAATCAGTCTGTTCAACGATTTTCTATTTCCTCTTGATTCAGCACTGGTAGGTTGTTTCTAGAAATTTATCCATGTTTTCCAGGTCATCAAATTTGTTGGTATATAATTGTTCACAGTAGTCTCTTATGACCCTTTGTATTTCTGTGGTATCAGTCGTAATATCTCCTCTTTCATTTCTGATTTTGAGTCCTCTTTTTTCCTTGGGTGAGTCTAATTAAAGGTTTGTCTGTTTTACCAAAGCAACAGCTCTTAGTCATTAATCTTTCTACTGTCTTGGTAGTCTCTTTTTTATGTAAATGTATGTTTCCTTCCTTCTACTTACTTTTGGGCTTTGTTTCTTCCTCCCCTTTTTTTTTTAAGAGTGAGCAGGCACATGAGTCAGGGGAGAGGGGGGAGAGAGAATCCCAAGCAGGCTCCACACCCAGCACAGAGCCTGACGCACGGCTCAATCTCACAACCCTGATGTCATGACCTGACCTAAAATCTAGAGTTGGACCCTTAACCAACTGAGCCACCCAGGTACCAGTTTCTTCCCTTATTTTAGCTATAACATAAGACTACTTGAGATTTTTTTCTTGAACTAGGCCTGTGCCGTATCCCATAGATTTGGTATGTCGTATTTCTGTTTCACTTGTCTCTGGGTGTTTTTTTCTATCTCCTTTATTTCAATGACCTACTGATTGTTCAGTGGCATGTTTAATCTCCATATTTTTGTGGTTTTTCCAGTTTTTTTTTATTGTAACTGATTTCTAGTTTCATACATTGGAGAATATGCTTGATATGACTTCAATATTTAATTTATTGAAAGATGTTTTGCTGCTAATCTAACCAGGAGATTGTTCCATGGGCATGGAATATGTATTCTCCTGCTTGAATGGAATGTTCTGTACATATCTATTGAGTCCATCTGGTTGTGCCACAGCTGTTGCAAAGGGAGGGTGGACATGGAACATGCCCAGCCCAGATGCGATGTACTCATTTGGCCCAGTTGTGGTGTGGCTGCTTGCGTAGGTTCAGTGGGACAAGAAGCATGCTTAGCAGTGCTAGCAGGCTAGAGGGAGGACCCCAAACATGGTGCCCATCAGCTCTGTTACCAGTTAGAATGAGATTGCAAAAATGGAACCAGCCAGTGCTTCTGTCCCCAGAGAAAGTCACTGCAGGTTCTTGCCTGCAGTCACGTTAGGATTAGCAAATGGGTCTCTCCCTCAGTTATAGTCTAGGCTCTTTTCAAATTATTTTTGCAGTGGTTTTCAGGATGAGTGCATGGGCGTGTGAGCCCTTCACGAGCAGGTTCTTTGTTCTCTACAGTTCTATGGTTCCCCTGGACTTAATAATCCAAAATCAGATGTTTGGGGAGCTTGTCTTTCTGGTGCCAGACACAAGGGTCTGGATGCCTGAAGTGAGGGCATACTCCTTCACTCTTCAAGGAAAAGCTCTGTATTTTGGGGACCCCTTCCTGATAGTGGAAGGGAGACCGCATCTCTGCCTCTCCTACCTGTCTCAATGCATCTCTCTTATCTTTTGTTGTGGAGGGTGCTGTTAATCTAGTTCCCAGGTCATTTGCAGAGGAAAATTATTCTTTAGATACCTGCAAATTTGTTATCTGTGGGAGGACATGAATTCAAGGTCTTCCTACACAGCCATCTTGAACCCCGAAGACGTAGTTTTAATTCTAGCTCCTTCACTAAATGACTGACCTATTTTATGACCTTGGACAAATCCTTAAATGTAGCTGTTTGCCAAACTTATCCGGACTGTGGTCTGTGGTATATCTATAACCATCTTGTGTTTTCCACCCACTTTCCTTCTTGCTGTCTATACTGACATGGAGGAAAAAGGATTGGCTATTAGTAAGCAGATAAGGTAGCAAAAGTAAACAATTAGTAAAAGTACTTTATTTTCCTCTTGTATTTGCTTTATATCTTGCTTTACAAAGTTATGAAGTTCACAGCTTTATACCAAAATGTAAGAAGGCTAAGCTATTTGCTTATAAACATTTTTGC